ATGTCCCTGCAGGTCCTACCATGTCAGGAAGGTTATTTGGATAGCGGTTAGACTAAAAACAGTTACCATCGGGTACATGGGCTCTAGAATCCAATCGGATCAAATGGCGTATGAACCCATATGGGTCACCGGCAAACATAGGAATGCAGCTCCTGACGCTGCTCCGCTGCCTTGTAGATTAAACTCCAAGTCAAAGGCTCGGGTGGTGGTCCCTTAATAAAACCACCTGCTTAGGTCTGGGCGCCCTGGCAATGTCTCAGCCCTCACACAACATTGTGTGACGTATTTTTCTTGGTGCCATATAGTACCAAATTTTTTTCTGCGTTCAAATAAATAAAAAATTAATAGGGCCAGGCAACAGATCGTTTATTAAGGAAATCAATACATATTTATAGATTTTCATGTACATTATTATAGATTATTGTTAGCAGAAAAACACAGTTCTCTGATTGGTGGTTGTTTCTCACAGAAAGTTAACTTTGCATCTCTTTGTGGAGGTTTCTTGAATGTCAGATCATCTATATGTTAAATGTATCCGCCTATGCAAAGCCTTTGTTCTCATTTTTCCCACGACTAATATTGAGGACATAAACACTGACGTAAATTTCTGTCCACCAATTTCGGCTAACAACCAGCTCTCACCACACTATGACTACATTCCGTCAGACAATACAATACAAGTTGTCAGTTGCGGTCCACTTGACGATGTAGAAGTAGCAGTTTGGTGAGAGCTGGCTGCAAACAAGCCGAAATTGTAAACAACAATTGACGTCAATGTTTACGTCCTGAATCGGGGCCATGAGAAAAACACAATTACAAAGTTTAGCCTTGAGGAACTCATCAACCAACCACAGCAGACTTAACGTGTGCAAATAGTATTCGCAGATATATGGCTTTACTTTCGGAAAAACGGTCACAAGCAGTAGAGAATAACTTTCAGCAAGAAAACAACCAATCAGAAGACGTTGCTCCCCCACTGACAATAATATACATAAAAATCTATATCTCTCGATTTTCTCAATAAACAATCTGTTTTCTGACCCTCATCTTCTGTCTTTACAGGAGTAGCGGTTGTTCCAATGTTGATTCCATCACGAAACAAATTCAGTTAAAGAATCATTGAAAGACAAAGGCCACAGGAAGGTTGTTACGTCCTAGTTTAGAAATCTTCAAAATACCTACAGAAAGCCCTAAATCTAAATCAATATCCTTCATCCCCAGCGCACCAACATCTGACTTCAAAATGGATGATTTGAAAATCTAGCGAGAGGTACTGTCCTATAGGTTGCACCATGTTGGATGCGTAACCGAATACGCATCGATGGTGGTATTTGGTCGCCCCTCGACGAGCATTACTAGCTGATATAGGTACAGGTTGGAAAAGAGTAAGTGGTGGCCAAACAAAAACATGGCGTCAATCCAATAAATCCTTGACAGTTAAACTGAGTCGGTCAGGTAGGGAGATGCAGACTTCCGGGTTGGGGCCCTCGGGACCGACTCTAGGAATCAATGGCTGGAGACAATAGGTGACATGGCTCAAAATCGTTGTCAATGGCCAGCGCAGATGTATTCAGCCTCTGCAATCTTTCATATTCCTTTTTGCCATTACTCATTCTGTTTCACTCTTATACTTGTCAAACTCTATTGATTCTCTTCACTCATCTTCTTATCTGCCTTTGTGTGCTATTTCGAACGTGGCAACTCGAACTGCTGCACTTTGGTGTCAAGTTTTATGTTGAATCCAGACAGACAGACAGAGAATCGATAAAAGTTAATATTTTTGAGTTTTTAAATTCCAATCCAATGGCTGAATTAGTCACTAGTGTTCCACGAGAAGCACAAGACTTTAGGCTAGAGACTCGAAGTCAGAATAACTGTAACTGTTTCGTTTTTTTTTTGAGTTGTGACTGCTAGCCTTAAACATCTTACCTTCGCGCTTTTTTTATCAGGGTTAATGCCGACTAAGCGAGATTTAAAGATGTGTTGGCAAGGGGTCGAATCTCAAACTATGTGAGTAGTAGCATGGTTGGTGGATATTCGACCATTGAACCATTGTGATATTAAGTAAAGTCATGAATTCAAACCCTTATAAAGGACATGAGTTGTGTGTGCGTATGTATATCATTGTTGTCAATTATCCGTCAACCAACCATCCCAATTAAATTAAATGAACAAATGTATAAATAAATGAATAACCATCATATCTCATTATGAGATTAGATAAGATTTTTTTTTAAATAATAAAAATAAAACATCTACTCACAATTATAAATTCCTATATAATACAGGAGAATACAACATAATTGAAAAACAACAACAAAAAGAATAATAATCAAATAAACAAAACAAACAAATAAGCCAACACACAAAGTAAATACACTGACAACATGAAATTCATGATTTTTGTTATTCGTTTTTACAAATATAAACTAAAGAGAGAAGAAGAGGATGAGTGATAAGATGAATGTAGGGAAGAACCATAAGGAGGAAACGAAAACGGTGCTAACGACGACCATGATGATGACGACAACGACAACGATGATAAAAGACGACTGCCAATCTCGGCGAGAATTCACTTGACAAGAGGAGAATATGACTTAAATCGTGTCTTAGCTGACATGTGAAAGCAGTTCCATTCACAATTAAATGTTTTGTCCTGCTGGGGGAAAGCATCAAATTTAGATGCTCTCCCCCCCCCCCCGCTCCGTCAAAGCTAGCCACAACATCAGATAACTGTGATCATGTTAACACTGAGGCGTGGTATCGACGTTCCAGCTATGTTCAAATACCACTAGGAGCGCGATTTTATGTTTGATGTCACACAAAATCGAAGACTTACAAGCAAAAACCGATCGACAAAATGGTCGAAGAAGCAGCCGGCGAAGACAAGACGGAGGTGATAAAAATAACCAACAACAACAGCAGCAACAACATCCAGCGCTAATCACCATCGACGGGAGGGATTTGAAAGAGGTTACTTCCTTCACTTATCTACGGAGCATTGTCTCAACTACAGGAACGGAGGAACGGACGAGGATGTCAAATCGAAGCGAGAATCGGGAAGGCTAGCGAGAAACACATTCATCAACCTGAAACCAATCTGGAAATATTCGTCACTCAGCCAACATCCACAACAAAATTCAGTCGGATTTTCAATACCAATGTCAAGTCAGTCAGTTCTTCTATACGGATCAGAAACTCGGCGGGCGGGTTACAAAGAATATTTCCAACAGCCTGTTGCAGACCTTTATCAACCAACAACTGTCTTCGCTGGCTCTATACTGAAGATCAATGAGATGGATGGGCCGGAAAGAATCACCAACAAGAAACTATGACTGGGAACAAACAAAACAAGAACCAATCGCCCAACAACAACAACAACAAATATGCAGGAGAAAGTGGAGATGGATTGGGCACTCGCTGAGGGGACCGGTTGGTGACATCGCGCGCGCGTCAGGCCATCGCTCGAGTGGAACCAGGCCGAAAGGGAAGCGGCGGCGAGTGTAACGTCAGTGCAAGAGTGACTTGGAGGAGATCGTGTGAAGAGGAGTTGAAAGAGTATGGACTAACATGGATACAGGTGAAAAGAACAGCACAAGATAGGAGCAAGTGGAGACGTGCAGTTGAATCCGTATGTTCCACTAGGAACCCAAGGGAACAATAATAATAAATAATAAGAAACGCCATTACTCACTACAGATGGAGTACACACAAATGACGAATTCTAAATAGGATTAATCTGGATTACACTGCTGGTCACTATCAACCGCCTATTTTAAACAGTCATGTTTTCTAAATCATCCACTTTAGGAGGAGAGCAGCCAACGAATATATATATATATAAATGTCACTGACTGGAGTATTGTTCATTGTTGCCTGTAGAACTATTCTTTATTTTCTAAATCTGTATTGTTTGTGGGTGCATAACATTGCATAACATTGTCACTCCAATGTGAAGTCAGTGCTACTCACTAGAGACTTGGCGGCGCACCGCGTCAAGAAGGCTACTTACAACAAACTACACACCTCCATCAACAAGTGTCTTCACTTAATACTACTCAAGATAAGATGGCCAGAAAAGATCAAGAACAGGGTTCTCTGGCAATGAACGAACCAACCAGGATCCAACTATGCAACAAATATTCAAAAAGAAATGGAGGTAGATTGGATTGGCCATACTCTGAGAAAACAAACCATTATCAAGTGATATCCATCTCACACGCCAGGCTATCAGTAGAGTGGAATCCAAATGGGATACAGTGAGTTAGTCGGTCGTTACTGCGACAGTGACATAGAGGAGGAAGTCACGAGCTGAATAGATGAAAGTATGTGGGTAGATGTGCAGCCAGGTGAACCGAACGCTATGGAGGGGTAGAGCTGAAGCCCTATGTTTCTTTAGGAACTAAATTAAGCACTAATAATAATTTAATTACACATACTTATCAGAATAGTTAGGAATAACGTCAATCCTCTGGTATTGTAGTGGAATACATTACAGGTATATTTATTATCACAAATGCTGATTATTCAGTCAGAAGGCTGAAGAACAAAGCGGAAAAAGTGTTGCACAGAAGCGTTTCACATTCTTCAGATACACATATGTGTACAGTAGGTTTGAATAATTCTCATGCCGCTGTGTAGGCCAAGAATTAAATTTGTAAGCCTTGAAATTAAATCACCCTCTTCCCAAATGAACAGTAAAACAAAACAACACTGACAACGCATATTTGAGTCGAAAATTTCTGTATTCACTGTTTGAAATCACCCCCAAAAAATCGCTTCTCTCGCTGTCGCTCTCTCACACACACACACACACCCATACACACATTTTCGAGTCGATAAATTTTATTGTCAATGTTTTGTAGTGATAAAAATCAAAAAAAAAAATTTCATAAGTACAACGAATACGAAATGAACGACAGTAAGATTTTGAAAACAAAGAAAAGAAGGCAACACTCATAATATTACGAAATCAAATAGGAAACTATGAAACAACATACCTTTGATGGCTTCTCGACCACCTGCTAGTGCACCCAATGGAAGCATTCCAGTCGGTGTGAGTCCTTTCAATTCAAGAATAGTTTCACTTTCCTCTCTGTCAAAGAAAAGTAATTAAAAAGAAAAAAAACTAAGATGTGAAATGTCAGAAAAATAAAAATGGATGCTATGATATATATTCTGTAATGTGTAACGGTAACAGGTTTCATACAGGGGGAATAATTAATGATTTGACGCTCAGTGATTGGAGGCAATCGGCAGAAAGCCTTCTAACCAGGTCTTGCGCCTGTTAACACTCGTTAGTAAGGCGAATCTGTAATCTTGAAAAAAAAACTCGTATCCCTTTTAGGATTCAAACCCATGTCATCTAATCCTGCAGTCAGAGGCTATTCGGACTCGCAATTAACCTCCTGTAGGATCGTAACGGATACTTTGATTCTGTCTGTCTGTCTGTTTCGACATAGAACTTTGCACATATGTGCGGAACTTCAAGTCGCCACAATTCCTCCATGTAGCACACAAAGTAAGAGAAGAAAGTACAAGAAAGCATAATAGAAACAGTAAACAGAGGTGTGAGACAAAGGGATAGTAGTATCGAAGAACAACATAGTTTAATTGGAAATCATGAGTCCCAGGGAGTGGATGCATCTGTGCCACTGAGAACGATTTTGAGCCATGTCACTAATTGTTTCCAACCATTTGTTTTTACCGTCCTGAGGACTCCAACCAGGAAGTCTACACCTTCCTACATGGCTTAGACTAACTGTTGTAGATTTCATTGACTGGTGCCATGTTTTTGTTTGATACTTTGATTAGTCACTTCAGTAGTGACTGGTATCGTATGTCTAGTGCTGACTGAATTCTATCAGTCAAGTTTGCGTTCTCCTTCGAGAGACAATGTAAGCTGACATAAAATAGATCAGATTGGAAAAGAGAAACCTAGTGGTGACCAAAACAAAACATGGCTTCATCAATCAATGAAATCCACAACAGTTAGTTTAAGCCAGCCAGCCACGAAGGGAGGTGCAGGACTTGCTTCCTGACTGCTTGGGGTCCTCGGGATGGTAAAAGCCAATGACAACTGGAGACAATCATTAGTGATATGGCTGGTGCAAATGCATCCAATCATTGTGATTTATCATATCCAATAAAATTCTGTTGTTCTACTATGTTACTATTATTTGTATCTGACATCTGTACTTATTATCTCTCTTTTGAACCCCCCTTTACTCTCTTCTCTTGCTTTATTTGCTAGAATGGAGGGGTGTAGCAACCCGAACTATTGTAAATCTGAGAAAGGTTCTACGTAGAAACCGGTCCGGTCAGTCATTCAGTCAGTCAAGTTTGTATTCTGGTCACCAAGTTAGATTGCCCACGATCACCGTACTCACTGGATCGATGTTAAATGAATGCAGGCAGTCAGAGGACACATGTATTCCTTCGAAATTGCATATATGTCTTGATGGCGAGTTCAAGCAAGCAAGAAATCTAGGTCCAGCGTTTCCTATAGATTTGTCATCATAATCTAATATCAATTCAGTGTATACTATTAAGGTGAGCCATCTAGCATGGTGACTCACTACACTTCAAACCCAACTGATGAAATTCAGTCTGCACCATCCCAAGAACTAGACGCATGGCAATGATTACTGTTCAGCGACCAATCAAAATAATTAGGGATTTATAATGAGGTTTACAAAAAAACGTCTATTTATGCACGAAAGGCTGGAGTTAATACAATGCGCTTACAACACACACACACAAAATCAGTAAACAAGATAAAAGAAACTTTACATATCGATCCACAAAGAAATAATCAATTAAATACTGTTTTCCACTAAGGAATATTGATATCACTGATAAGAATTAATCGGCAACAACGCTATAAAAGGCTATAAAGTTGACTCCCTAATGACCAATCTTACAGTCTTAAGTCAGTTGTGAAATCGAATAGACCAGTGATAATTTCTTCAATTACATCACTAGGTAACGTGGATCTGGATCTCTCTAAAGAAAAAGAGACAATACCTTCAAGCCTTCAAGCCGCGTCGGTGGCACAGCTGTAGAATACTCGCCAATACTCGTGCAGGTTCGATCCCCTGCCACCGACGCACTCCTGCTTTACCTCACTAAGAAGCCTTTAATAAGACTGGTAGAGACAGGAAGGGTGGGTATGAGGCTAGCAGCTCCATCAAGTAAAAACAAAGTAACAACTGCTACGAAGACTTCAAAAAAGCTCTAGCTTGAAGCCGTATGTTCCAGCACTAGGAACTTAAAGGAATAAAATAAAGCCTAATGACACGCCTTGATGACGACTGTCAATAATCAAAAACCTGGAACAAAATAGCTTCACTAACAACTATCGCCACTGAAGAAATCATCTGAATATATACTACAGATCTGATAATTTGTTATATAGAAGTCAGGCTATAGTAGCAGCAGACGAACAGTTCTGAAAAAAGTTATTTAACTTTTGTTGAAATTTAATTTGAGATTTTCCCATCGATTGATTGGACCGAAGTGCTCGGTCTCAGGTTGATATGTTGGTTTCTTGAGAAGATGCTTCGATGATGTCTGGGCACTTAATTAGTATTAAATTGGTGGATGGTGACTAGCAGTGGAATCCAGTCTTAAATAGAACGAAATGCGCATCCTGGATTCCACTGCTAATCACCACCCACCAATAAAATACTAATTAAATGCCCAGACATCGTCGAAGCATCTGCTCAAGAAGCCGACATGTCAACTTGAGGCTGGGCGCTTCGGGCCAATCAGTTGACGGTAAAATCTAAAATTCAATTAAATAAATGTGACCCGTTGCATGAGGGGTGGCTCTCGTGGCCCAAATGGTCTAGTTGGTGACGTTTTGGAGTTTGAAACTATGAGCACTGTGTTTGAGCCTCGGTGGGAATATCATCACTCACTGAGAAATGCAGGTACATCTAGCTGACTAGCGAGTCCCAAATAGGACGAAATGCTCATCCTTGATTCCACTGCTAGTCACCATCCGCCGATTAAATTTGCTGAACTTATTTTGAAGCATCTGTACTAAGAGGTGACATATCATCACGACAGACTAAACCTTTCAGTCCAAAATGTAGAATGAAACCAACAAATAACAAAAGATTTGAAGCGACACTTGTCGTCGGTTGACCAGCCCAGTACATAACATTTTAGAGTTTGAAACATACATAGTGTCCTGGAGGATGCACATTCATCAAGCTGATAAAAGTCTGAAAAAAGGAGATGAAAAGCATATTCTGGATTCCACTGCTAACTACTGCCAATCAAGTTACGACAGTTTTGATCCAACAGACTCCAGACATTAATCAGTTGGAAGATGCAGCACTTTTTCTCTAAGACTAATGATTATATAATTAGAAATATCAAAAATTCGGATTTTCAACACAAAGTATTTAGTCAGTAGTGTTCCAGTGTTCAGAGGCCTAATAGTGAGTCATGAAAATGTGAATTTCACGAACAGGCTAGCTGCTTTTGCTCGATGCTGAAAGTCAGATGGCCTAAAAAAACATCAGTAAAATAAAAGAACTCTGACAAAGAACCTATCAGCCCACAAAACATGTCGGAAGTAAAATGGAGATGAATTGGACACTTCGTTGAGGAGATCGCTGAATGTCATCACAAACCAGGCTTGCTATCAAGTGTAACCCGAATGAGAAAAAACGAGGTCAGTGTCCGAGGATGACATGGTGGAGACAGTGTGTGTGTAAGGAGGAGATCAGAGCTTATGGACAATCGTGGAGCCAGCTAGGAAGCTTTTGAAGCCCTATGTTCTAATAGGCACCAAAAGGAGTAATAATAATAATCGAAAGACTCATCTTACGCCCCAAGACTTCAACCATAGTAGTTTTTCACTGTGGACTCCAAGGCAAATAACCTCCGAAAAGGGTAGATGACAGGTTTTAAAATTATTCAATTTAGGTCACAATTATCCTCCATTTACCAACGAATGCTCAATCAAGCGAACAAGTTCAGATTTTCCCGTCAATTGATTAGACCGAAGTTCTCGCTCTCATATTGACATATATAAGCTCCTTGTGCAGATGCTTCGACAATATGTCTCGTCATGTAATGTGAAGTAGCCGACATGTCAGCACTTCGGTCTAATCAATCAAAAGGAAGAATCTAAATTGGATTAAATAATTAATTAGACCTGTTGCGAAAATAGGTGGTGCCTAACTCTCGTGACCCAAGTAGTCTCGTGGATACCTCCTCAGCATTTAAAACTATGGCTACTGCGTTTGAACTTCAGTGGGAACACTATCACTCATTGACTAGAAGCAGGTACATTCAACTGGCTGACGAGTCCCGAGAAGGAAGAAATGCGCGTTAGCCTGGATTCCTCTGATAATCACCATCCACCAAATGTTAGAAGAAGGCAATACAACAAACAACCTTTACAATCGAATTAGCACAAAGCATCAGTTTTTTTAAAGAGACAGAATTCACATTGAAATATTTATAATAATAATAATAGTACATAAGACAACATAAAAAATGAATTATTGGTTTTGTTGACTAACTGTTAGAAAATTATTTTAGAAAAATTATTATTATTATTATTTCAACTAGAGTGTGTGCGAGTATGCATGCATGTATGCTCTGTTCTATACATATTTGTTTATTTCCGTTCATTAACTTTTCAACCCAAATAAACAATATATCTTCAGTCGATTCATCAATTTAATTTCAATGATTCAATGAATAAATAAATAAATACACCATCTGTTATGAGTATACACAATCCAGTAAACAACATTTATTTTCTACGAGTTTGATCATGGATTGATACTAATTGTTGTTTATTATTATTATTCATATTATTATTATTTCCTTTAATTCCTAGAGGAACATAGGGCTTCAGCTGCGCGTCTCCATTGCCTTCGGTTTTCTGCCAACTTTTTAACCCCGCTCCAAGTCTGCCCACATGCTTTCATCTCCCCTCTTCACATGCCACCTCCTCCAAGTCACCCTTGCACTGATGACCAACTCGCCGCTTCCCTTTCGGGTTCCACTCGAGCGATGGCTTGTCTAGTGATGTCACTTGATGGCGTGTTTCCTCAGAGTATGGCCACCCAATCCATCTCCGTTTCTTTCTGCTTATTTGTTTCACAATCGGTTCCTGCTGAGTTGGTTCGCTCACTGCCAGAGAACCCTGTTGCTGATCTTTTCTGACTGGCCATCTGATCTTGAGTGGTATTGAGCGAAGACAACTGTTAATGTAGGTCTGTAGTTTGTTTGAGATGTTCTTTATGACGCGCAGTGCAAGTCTGTGATCCGTATAGTAGCACTAACTTTACATTGGAGGTGAAAATCCGGATCTTATTTTTCATGTTGAGTGCTGTTGACCTCCACACCGACTTGAGAGTAATCAAAGCTTGTCTCGCTTTTCCGATTCTTGCTTTGATATCCTCATCAGTTCCGTCCGCCTATAGTTGAAACGATGCTTCCCATATAGGTAAATGAAGTCGTTTCTTTCAGGTTCCTCTTATTTATGCTGGCTGATGGTTGTCTGTTGTTGTTGTTGCTGTTGGTGTTGGTCAGGAATCTTCATCACATCTGTTTTATCTATGTTTACCTGAAGTCCTATCATTGATGCTTCTTCTACCACCAACTTGTTGCTTTTCACTTGCATATCTTCCAATTTGTCGACGAAGTCCAGATCCTCCAAGTTTCTTTTTGTGTGAGTCAATTTTATGCCTGTTTCCTAATTGCCCATCCAGTATACTGCAATCAGAAAGATCATTGGCGATAGTAGACAGCCATGCCTCACTCCCGTCCTCACTTCGAAGGCTTCCATAAGATTCACGTTATGGATTGCTTGGCATGCAGCATTTTCGTATAACTGTTGGATGAGATGTATAATTATCGATGGTATCCTGCAGTAGCGAAGTAGTTGTCAAATCAACTCTCGATCGACGCTGCGCTATCGAAGGCCTTTTCAAAGTCGATGAAGTTGAGTGAGGTGGAGAGGTGACTGCCTTTTCAAGCTTTGTTCGGTGATGATCCGTAGTATGGCGATTTGATTAATATATGACTTGTTTCTCCTGAATCCAGCCTGTTCCGGTAAAAGTTTTTCATCCAAGGCTTGTTTTGATTCCCTCCAGGATGATGCGGCTTAGTATTTTGCTTGGGATGGACAGGAGCATAATTCCGCTCCAGTTTTTTGCATTGACTTAAGTCTCCTTTCTTTGGTAGTTTGAATAAATATCTTATCTTCCAATCGTCGGGTATTGATTGAGAAATTGATTAGAGAACCATTAAAAACCAGGGAGTACTGGACAGCTATTTGCCAGCCTAGTTTAAGAACCATGGGCAGTAGGCACCCACTGGGAACTCCAGGACAGAGTTTCCTGGAGTGAGTTCTTCTAGTGAGAAGTCGTGACCACACTGAGGTCCATCCTGTCAAGTGTGAGAATGGAGTTCCCGCCGAAGATATTGGTTGGTGATGCATTGCACTAAATACATGCCAAACATTTGCAGATTCCAGCTCAAGGAGTTCGGAAGACTCTAACTATCAAGGTTAGTTAGTACAAAACTGCATAAAACGAAAGTTGGAGTAAGCACACGCTGAGGTACCACTATTACAAGAAAGCAATCAGGATATAATCTGATAAAGATGAAGTATTATGCCTTTGATCCATCCCTAAACAACAAACCACACACAGATGAATACAAAATTAAATGGTCAGGAAGATGACAAGAAAAACTATGTGCTTGAAACTAACCTCAATACAGTAAACACACGTGCCATTTTGCCAATAGCTCGAATCTTATTCCGTATCACGTCTTTTCGTGCAGTGATTTGTGCTAAAATGACAATGAAGCAAAAACAAAAAGTGAATAGAGGGGAAGGGGGGGAGAAAAAAGAGAAGCGATGTTTGTCAATTTCGTATACATGTATTATAAATAATTGACTTTTTAAGGATTAGATTTGTTGTGACAAATTTGACCACGCAAGGATTGATATCGCTTAGAGATCCATTGAAAACCAGTACTGGAGGGAGTACTGAACAGCCAGCTGTTTCATCAGCGTAGTTTAGGAATCATCGTCAGTACAGACACACACACACACCGTCAAGGTTAGAACCCACAACCTTCTGGTTACAAGTCAAGCTAGCTCGTATACCAGCATTCAGCCACTGGGACCAGACCCGATTCAATGACCAGAGCATTAAATTCTAACTTCTACCAATTCGTGATTTAATACGACCGACATCCATCCTCACACACTACATGTATTACAAGAATATTTGTTAGAATTTAAAAAGATAAATATCTATGTGACCAAATTTTATACTTATTGAAGCCTAATAGAGGAAGAAATAAAAATGAAATGGACACCAGTAGAATTCAAACTAACCAGTCACCAGATTTTTGATCGGATAACTAGGTGAAAACGACTATCAGGCATCTAGTTCTCAGTGTAGGTGTAGGGTTGAATCTTATCAGTCAAATTTGTAATGTGGCCATCATAGTAGGTAGCTCAAAAATCATGCGGCACTCTGAATTGTAATTAGATTCCGTCCGTGCTCGATGGCACTCGTCATCAAAGAGTGCCTGCAAACTTGAAAAAATTCATATCACTTCTAAGATTTAGATATGATAGAGACGGTTTGTAGCTCAGGTGGATGACTTTGATGTGGTCATGTTCGTTGAGCTGGATGGTTATTTTGCGAAGCTTTCATCACAATAATAGGTGACATCTTCAGCGCATACTTCAATTCAATGAAGTGGACTTTTAGATTTCTCCACGAGTTTATTATTCATCGCTCCTGGTAGGTGACCTTCGACGTTGTGACTGCTTGGTTTTGTGTATTTTCATACCTTCTAGGCAGCTGCTTGTATTGGAACTGATTGTTTCTTTGGCTTGAACTTCGATCCCCTGAGTGTGAAGTTTCTTTCTTATCAGTTGATAAATTTTGTCTATTTCTATGCGTCTATTGATTGATGATTCACTGGAATGCCAAGCTTCTAAAAGTTCTCTAGCATTCTTGTTGTTTCCTCTGTCTAATATTTAAAAGCTGGTTGTCCCAGTCGAATCGATGTCCGTGGTTGTCTGTATGTAGTGATGTGAGATATACCCCCAAGCCAACCTATCAAACCAAAAGCCCCCCAAGGAAAGCACAAAGAAAACCGCCTTACTAGACATAAAGGATACCTCAGAAATCACTACAAGACTCTTCAAACCTTCAGGAATTGACGTCGTACACAAACCAACAAAGTCGCTTCAATCAATTCTATGTCAACCAAAATACTCAACATCGAAAGAAGACAAAACCACCATCATCTACAAAAAGAAATTGTAACAACGGCCAAAAGCACTACATTGGCCAAAGTGGACATTCCCTTCGTCTTCGTATCCATGATCAGAAACTAGCTGTCAAAAGACATGACATCCACTCCCTGATATCACTGCATACAGACAACCACGGACATCAATTTGACTGGGACAACCAGCTTTTAAATATTAGACAGAGGAAACAACAAGAATGCTAGAGAACTTTTAGAAGCTTGGCATTCCAGTGAATCATCAATCAATAGACACATCCAGATAGACAAAATTTATCAACCGATAAGAAAGAAACTTCACACACAAGGGGTCAAAGTAGAAGTCAAAGAAACAACCAGTTCCAATACTTGTAGCCCAGAAGGTGTGAGAACACACAAAAACAACCAATCACGACGTTCAAAGTCACCTATCAGGAGAGATGATTAATAAACTCGTGGAGAAATCGAAAAGCTCACTTCGTTGAATTGAAGTATGCGCTGAAGATATCACCTATTAGTGTGATGAAAGCTTCGCAAAATAACCATCCAGATCAGAGAACACAACCACATCAAAAACTTCTAAGCTTCGAACCTGGCTTTTCCAACCCTGCAATCAGAGACGTTACTACTGATCTATCCAGGCTGTCAATTGACCTCCTGTGTAAGACTATAGTGGATAATTTCACTGAACGGTAGGCAGTAACTAATGTCATGTCTCCAGTCACTAGAATACTTAACTTGGATCCTATGGTGATCACGGATCTCACTTCCTATTCAATCAATCTATTATCTTTGTATCGGTTCTTCTTCTGGTTCACCATACTTCTGTCCTCCTTTTTGATTTCCACATGTCCATGGGGAGCCATTGAGATTGTCTTGTCTATTTTTTTTCTTCCTAAAGCGGGCTAGGCCGTACAGATATCCTTAAACATCAATTTGAGAAAGGTCTATTGTTCCACCACACAGGCTTTCTTCACTTATTCTGCTTACTGTCTCCTACTTTTTCTCTGATGACTGTAGTAAACGCACACTTCCTAGTTTCATCTTTCAGTTGAACTTAGGTTGTGGTGTTTTTTTTAAATTCCTTCACGTTCCCAGTGGAACATAGAGCGTCTTCAAGTTAGAGGCTTGAAGTTTCTGTGGCAGTGGTGGTGTTTATTTTTTTCACAGGATGAGGTTGCTAGTCCAACTATGCCCAACCATTCCTCTTTACCAACTTTTATTATTACTGACTTAGCGAGGTAAAGCAGAAGTGCATCGGCTAGATCCCAATGGCTTGATGGTCTACGAGCTAGCTAGCTAGCTCGCCTTGTAACCAGAAGGTCCTGGGTTTCGAACCCTTTGGGGGTTGGTGCGTACTGGTGAAGAGTCGTAAACTGGGTGACGAAACAATTGGTTGTGGTCTATCTCCGGCTTTTTTTGAAGGCCTTCAACTTGCGATAATGGTCTATGCTCATATCTGCTTTTCTTCACCATTTTGTGTCCAACAGGCTGCGTCTCCACTTTTGTTGATCAACACTGAAATGAATTCTATCCTATTTTTCTTTTTTCTTTTTTGGATTACATGAATTCTCGTCTATTATGATTCAAGATTCTCTGAGAACATGAATTTTAGAAATAAAACACACATGTGGTGAGAGCAGGCTGCTAGCCGATTGGTAGACATTAATCTACATCAATGTCTAGGTCACTAATATTGGCCGTGAGAAAATATGAACAAGACTGGTTCAACAACCAATCACAGCAGACTTAACGTGGGCAAATATGATTCGCAGATAGATGGCTCCACTTTTCGATGGTTACCCGAAACAACCGATCAGAATCCTGCGTTTGTTGCTTAACTTCTGAGAAACAACCAATCAAAAGGCTGCGTTTGTCTACTTGAATAAGCTATAATAATGTACGTGAAATTTATATAAATACTTGTTGATTTCCGTAATAAAACGATCTGTTGCCTGGTCCTTGTCTTCTGTTGTTACACACACACCCACACACAATATTCGTGTGTCACTTGGCTTAGTTAGCATTTATATTAGACGTCGACTGGACAGAAGTGCATCCGTTTTTTTTAAAGAAAACTCAAATAGTTACTGTTTCTGACAAGTAGTTGGCTTACAAACAAGTTTCCTCATGAACACACAAAGTAGGTGGCAGCCATCAGAGAGTGGAATAGACGTTTTTATTGACTTTGTAAACTGAAATATTAAGCAAATTAAACTGAAGCAAAAACAAGAATAGAAAAGAAGAGAAAAACTGTCTCATGTTTACTTTGTTAATCTAATAACCCTTGAGAATAAACATTGAAGAAATGTCTATAAGCCAATATTAATCAGTCTCAACATGTATACGTATTCTTTCTACTGACGGGGAAAAACCCTATTAGAGATAACCAGTGATATCATGAGAGGAGAAATATGTAAGCACACACACATACATTCAGACTAAGTAAGCTGATAGATGCAACTTACTGATTTCCACAAAGATCACCCAAAAATTCAACACCGAAATAGACGATAAAGAAAGCATGATTGTAAGATATTTCTATGTTTGATTACAAGCTGACATGAGTGAGAGAACCTCCGGGAAATCAAAGAGCACTGAACAATTGTTTCACCCTAGCCTTTGGGGTTTGAACCAGGACCTTCAAGTTATTATGAGGCGACCCAGTAGACCATCCAGCCACTAGGATCCCATTCAATAGAAGATGACTAACTCCAACTCCCACTGATTGGTAATGCATATGTGTAGCGTGACTGCTAGCCAATATCATCAATAAGTAACTGTCCTCATACCAGATTTCTCAGACCACACCGGTCACGACTTCTTACTAGAATACCACGTAACTTGCTGTATACAGTCAGTCGCTAGTGAGCCTTAGATGAATTTTCCAGTATTCGCTGGTTTTCCAATGCATCTCTAATTGATGTCAGCTCAAGACCAAGCCTATACCCAATCAAATCCTTACAAATCAACACTTGAAAATATCTGTGTTTCAAGAGAACCAGCCACACCTTATTAAGGAATGATCTTATTATTCTTTTTTTAATGAGTAATGAAAATGAAAGTAGAGTAATCCAGATATAATGGGGAGATTTGTAGATCAACTGGTTGATTCTGATCTAGTTGTGTTCTCTGAACTGGATAGAAAATTTGCAAAGCTTTCATTGCCCCACCACTATAAACATCTTCAGTACACAGTTCAATTTGAAGTGACCTTCTGGATTTCTCCATGAGTTTATAAGTCACCTCTCCTGATAAATGAACTTGAATGTGCCTGATTGTCTTTTGTGTTTTCACACCCAACTGTTTTGTGTGCGCGCGTGTGTGTGTTCAATGGTACTGATCGTTTCCTCAACCTGAAGTTTGACCTTTTCTGTGTGAGATTTCCATCTTATCGATTGGTAAATCTCGTCTATGTCAATGTGTCAATGCAAGTGCGTACTGTTGAAGAGTTCCAGACTAGGACGAAATAGCTGCCTAGTAGTTCTACAACTGATGTCAGCTCATGATGAAATCCTCCAACCAATCACACTAAATCCTTATAAAAACCGATACTTGATAATATGTTTATTAATTGACAGTTCACTGGAATTCCAGGCTTCAAAACGTTCTTTAGCATTCTTGCTGTTTCTTCTGTCTAATATTTGAAAGCCGGTTGTCCCAGTCGAATTGATATCCGTGGTTGTCTGCCTGCAGCGATATAAGGGAGTGGACGTCGTGTCTTTTGGCGAGTAGTTTTTCATCATGGATACGAAGATGAAGGGGATGTTCACTTAGTACCAATGTAGTGTTTTTCGCAGTTATTGCAACTTAATTTGTAGACGGTGATGGTGTTTTATCTTCCTTCGCTGTTAAGTCTTTTGGTTGACATAGAGCTTAATGAAGTCATCTTGTTGGTTTGTATGCGACATGAATTCCTAAAGGTTTGAAGTGTCTTACAATGATTTCTGAGATGTCCTTTGTACACTATTATTATTATTATATTATTACTGTTCCCTTGGGTTCCTAGTGGAACATAGGGCTTCAACTGCACGCCTCCACTTGCTTCTGTCTTTTGCTGTTCTTCTCACCTGTAACCACGTTAGTCCATACACTTTCAACTCCTCTTCACACGATCTCCCCCATGTCACTCTTGCACTGACGTTACATTCGCCGCCGCTTTCCTTTCGGCCTGGTTCCACTCGACCGATGGTCTGTCGCCCCTCAGCGAGTGCCCGATCCATCTCCACTTTCTCCTGCATATTTGTTGGCCAGCGATTGGTTCTTGTTTTTGTTTGTTCCCAGAGTTTCTTGTTGGTGATTCTTTCCGGCCCGTCAATCTCATTGATCTTCAGTATAGAGCCAGCGAAGACAGTTGTTGGTTGATAAAGGTCTGCAACAGGCTGTTGGAAATATTCTTTGTGACCCGCCCGCCCGCCAAGTTTCTGATCCTTATAGAAGAACTGACTGACTTGACGTTGTTTGTATTGAAAATCCGACCGAGTTTTGTTGTATGTTGGCTGAGTGACGAAGATTTCCAGATTGGTTTCAGGTTGATGAATGTGTTTCTCGCTAGCCTTCCCGATTCTCGCTTCGATTTGACACCCTCGTCCGTTCCGTTCCTGTAGCTGAGACAATGCTCACTAGATAAGGGAAGGAAGTAACTTCTTTCAAATCCCTCCTGTTGATGGTGACTGGCACTGGACGTTGCTGCTGTTGTAGTTGTTGTTAGTTGGTTGGTTATTTTTATTACCTCCGTCTTGTCTCCTTTATATATGGTAGAGCGATTTGATCTTTGATTTTCCCTTGGGGGCCTTTGATTTGGTAGGTTGGCTTGGGAGAATATGTCTTTTGATGAATTTCCGTAGATATCGATTCTTTTGTAATGTAATGTATGTGTCTGACTAATAAAACACACACCACCAACAGCATCAGCCAGGATCATCCTCTTCGGCATCATTCTTCATAGCTGACTTAATGGACCTCTCACAGATCGCTACTTCCTACAACTCCAGGCAATTTTATCCTGTAGTTTGTCGCAAATGAACAGTGAATAGTACACTTGTTTCATTCTAGTCTTCAATTTTTCAGAAGCTCACACACACATACACAGGACCCTTGTGCCTAGGAAAGAACCCAGAGTACATCTGAGTCGCAAAATGTACAGATACTCACCGTTATTATTGCCTGACAGTGATGTTATACATCACAAATTAGCAAAAAAAAAGAATTCGTCTTATATCCAGTAGGTCCTGTGTTTATATTTCTAGTGGGTGGGAGGGGGTGTATCTATACTACCGAGGAGTCCCGAGACAGGACCAACTAGCTGTCGCCTAATTCTTAGTTTTCAACAATTCACTAACTGATGTCAGTCCGTAATGAAACCAGACTTAAAACCGATCACATATACATATAACTATCAGACCTGGTAATATCTTCAAGGAAGATATGATAGTTATTAGAAAGAAAGTCAAGAAGAAGGTAACAATGCTGAGAAGAATCCTACACGAGGCAGAAAAGAGAGATACTGCCATCGTTTTCTTGTTAACCAAAGAGAGCAGAGAGAGAGAGAGAGCGAAACGCCCATGCCTTGCATTTAGATCAATTACTTCGATGATCTGGCTATAAAGTACTACCGCTCGACGGAATTGGCCTCCAACTACTCATATCAATCAGTAGTATATAAGATTACAGTAGAAATAATCAACTGAAAAAACAATAGGATACTTACATTCATCTTCTGGTGTATCAGATAACAGTTCGTCATCTGAACAGATATTGAGTACATTGACCAACATTTCAGTAACTATAAATTAACAAGAAACAAAACGTACAATTAATTATCAAAAGGAATAGAAATAAAAATAACTAAACTTAGACGGATAGACATATAAGCAGTTTCAACATTATTATTATTATTATCATTACCACTATTCATTCCTTGACTTCAGAGTGGAACATAAGGCTTCACCAGCACACCTCCGACTGATGCATTCCTTTGCTATCATTTGCAGCTGTCTCACAACCGCCTACAAGCTTCCATTCTCTCTCTTTCCTCACATTTTTTTATTTTATTTAAACGCAGAAAAAACTTGGTACAATATGGCACCAAAAAAGATGCGCCACACAGCATAGATGAAATCAAAAAATATGGATGGAGAGCAGGGAAAAACTTCATCAGGAAGTAAAAAGCCATACTTAACAAGTTCAAACAGTATTCGTCAACTATCATCGAGAAGGTAAGAAAGAAGGAAATTGCTACACTTTCGCCATTGATTACGATTCTTGGCCATATCCAATAACGTTTCGAGCCATCTCACAGACCCCAACCAGCGAGTCGTGACACACCAACCGATGCTAATCTAGCACAAATATCCTTCATCCAACGACGCTACGTCATGGACTGACCGCCCCTCAACCTTTTGCGTCGCGTCCCAGGGCTGGCTAGCGAACAGAAACCTGTACGGAAGCCTCTGGGATGACATTCGCAGCACATGTTCAAGGCACCGTAGCCGGTGTTTCCAGATGACAGCACCCAACGAATGGTCACCTCCACTGTCTTCAAACACACGTCGCCGAACCTCAGAATTACTCACGCGATGATGCCATCGAATGCAAGTAGATGGAGAGGATAATCGAAGCACTTCACTGGGATCTTGAATGCGGGTCTCCAAAATACAGCAGACATCGATACCGAGGCTTTCCAATGTTCTTACAACCCTGTCTGTTGTCCGATTTACATCAGCGTCCGAACATTGTAGGTAGCCAGCTTGAAAATGGCCCACGATTTCAGGATATCTGTGTTAGATGTCGCATTGGGGACAACCATTTTGAAGGTTACTCACTAGACAAGGACGTAGGACAATAAATTATATCCCTTAAAAGAACACCATCTCAATGTTATCCCAGTTGTTTATCCTATCTCGTCAACTGATCTTCAGTACCACATTTATATTTCTTCTGCTGATAAGGATTGGCACTTGTTGGTGTTGATCGGTGGTTATCTTCATCACCCTCTATCTTTTCTATGTTCGCTTGATGTCCTTGTTTTGCTGCCGACCCTTTCTGTCAATATGCTGCTTTGTACACATATATGACACTGACATGGTCGGCTATTTCATAGTACAGCACAAAATCTAATTGAATTTAAGATTTTCCCATCGATTGATTGGATCGAAGTGCTCGGTTTCAGGTTGACATGTCGGCTTCTTATGCAGATGCTTCGACAATGTCTGGACATTTAATTAGAATTTAATTTGTGGATGGTCACTAGCAGTGGAATCCAAGATAACGTGCATTTCGTCCCATCTGCGACTCGTCAACTAGATGTACCTATATTCCCCAGTCCGTGAGTGATGATGTCCCCACCACCGACGCTCGAACCCAGTGTCCATAGTTTCAAACGCCAAAGCGTCACCAACTAAACCATTTGGACCACAAGAGCCAGCCATCTCTTGTGCAACGGGTCATATTAATTATTTAATTCAATTGATTGAACCCAGGCGCTCGGTCTCAGGGTGACATATCGGCTTCTTGTGCAGATGCTTCGACAATGTCTAGGCATTTAATTAGAATTTAATTTGTGCTCACAATAACTGCAAAAATTTACTTAGTTTAAGGTGATACAATAATTTCCGACAAAAATTAGGAGTATATAGCATTCAAGGTGAATGCAAAAATACATAAAACTATGCAGTTTCAATGTTTTGAACTAAGCCGAACCCTATAAGAAGACCATTAAAAGTTGTGAACTTTGTGAATGTCATATAAACTCAAAGATGTGCAGTGGTGGCGGTAAAAATTAACAAGTTGGTAGAAAACACAATGAAGACAATACTTCTCAAATGGACACGGAGAATACACAGGTGATGAAGATTTCCACCAATCAATGATAATAAGCATTATTATCGGAAGAAATCTGAACGATGTCAATTGTCTTTCAACTGTCTAAAGGCAGCATCGTTCCAACTACAGAAAGCATAGATACGAACTGGTAAATTTAAGATATGGAAAAGCAAGATAGACTTGTCTCTCACTCTCCCTCTCTTAAAACAGTTAAGAAATCTACTGCACTCAGCATAAGGGACAGTATTCGGATCTTCAACAAAACTATCAACTCAGTTCTTCTTCTGTATCGTCCAGTGACTTAGAGCGGTGATATGCAAAGCACTTCCAACAAGCTGCTAAAAATAAAATCTCTTAAACAGTTCTCTCCTCTTTCTGGATATCGAAGATCGAATAGCCAGAGAAATAAGAAGCAATATACGGAATGAAGTGGAGATGGATTTGAAGCACGTCCAAGTGACCATCGAGCGATATAACGTGTGAATGAGAAATGAGGAGTTAGAAGTCCAAGGGTGATATCTGTCTGTCTGTCTATCTATCTGTTTTTGACGTAGAACTTTGCACCGATGTGCGGCACTTTAAGTCACCAAACTCTTTGTAGCACACAAAGCAACAGAAGACAGTAGAAGAAATGCATATTAGAGACAGTAAACAGAGGTGTGAGACAAAGGAATAGTAATAACGTAGAACAATAAAGTTTCATTGGAAATAATAGGTCACAAGGAGTGGATGCATCTGCGCCGGCCATTGACAACAATTTTGAGTCATATCACCAATTGACTACAGCCTACATTGGTTTTCACCGTTCAGAGGACCTCAAAAAGAAAGCCTACACCTTCCTACGTGGCTGGCTTAAACTTACTGTTGTGGATTCTGTTGACTGGTGTCATGTTTTGGTTTGACCACCGCTAGCTCTTTTCCATCCTGACCCGTCGAGGTAGGTGATGACTAGGCATACGTAACACATGTCCTAACCATCTCAGTCGATGTAATTTCACAACCTCGTCGATTGATTTTCCCTCCCACTTACCTAGCACTTGACCGACGCCTAAGCTCAATATTGCCCACCTTATTATACCACTTCACACGGGAGATAGAACGCAGGCACCTATGATCAAACATAGCTAATCCACTCTCAATGGCCAGGTCTCACAGCCATAAAGGAGGACGGAGCGGACTGTTGAGCAGTACACCCGCCCTTTGGTCGAAAGCCAACGGAATATCACGTCTACGCCAGAGACGGTGTAAACTGGCATATGCGAAACGAGCCCACTGTATCCGTCCTGAGTTTTCGTCAGAGATCAACCCGTTGGCGTTGACTGATGGTACTTCCCAAATAAGTGAAGCGGACAACGTGCTCTACTACTTCATTCCCTATTTCTAATCTAGGAGTCGGTGTAGTCCAGTCCTGTAACATGATCTTGCATTTGACGGAAGCGAATCGCATGCAAAACACTCGTAAATTGCAGCTTAAGGTGTTCAGAAGACACTGTAAGGAGATATGGTGGAGATCACGTGAGCAGAAAATGAGCGCCTATGAGAGGAACTGTGGAGCTAGCTAAAAAAAAAAAAGAAAGACTGCAGAAATGTGGTTGTGCTGCTGAACCCATATAATCTACTTGAAATGCTAATAAATTATATATATGAGCAATGAAAACATTCTGTTTATGCTTTGAAATTCATAACCTACCTTTTTCACCAACAAATGGTAACGACCAAGTGAATACATCCATAAAATTAGGCAACCAGTATGGATGCGGTGAACAATTGAACTGTCGAATATTCATTACATTATTTTCATACTTTAATATAGCAGCTTTATTATTGCACATAATACACATACATAATATACAATGATGATTGTATCCAGAGTCGATTCATCATTCATATTAACCAACCAATGAGCGCGAGAGTGTCAGTGATGGATCACAGTCGATCCAAACCATAGAGAAATTAAATTGCACATAAAGAAAAAACAGAAATGAAAAAAAACAAGCTGAGATACTGAAAGGGAACAATAATTAATTTAAAAGCTTCATCAAAACAAAGCCGAGATTAATACAATTGGTGCTCTATATACTACTGATTGGCTAATATAAGTAGTTGTCAACCACTCACATTACCCAAGTAGCAGTTACTAGTCAGACAGAGAAGGAAGTAATATACACACACTCACATGAAATGCTCGTTTCACTCATCTGAAGCTAATCATCATCATCATCATCATCAGAGAGCTAAATCCGCTGAATCCACCAAAATCCTGATAATCTATTAAAACGATTTAGTCACTAGCAAATTACACAGTTCAAGGTAAGATATCAATGACCACATTCTCTTTCGTCACCAAAAAGGTTGAGATAGACAAAATGTGGTCTGTTTCAAGTCAAGGACCAGGTTCGAACCCCGGTCCACATGCGTGGTTGGTGGGCATTCTACCGCTGTACGTCGGTGGCGCAGTGTTAGAGGACTCACGCGCCTAACCTGTTGTCATCTAATTCCCAGCCTGGACGAAGTATCAAACATTAGGTAATACGAAGATTAGAGTTGTAATCACATTTACCTGACAGTGTCCCTTATGTTGCTAGATCATTCAGCCCAAGTTCGAACACAATTATCCTAAAGTACTTGAAGTATACACTAAGCAAAATGCTGCCCTACATTAGTAAAATAGTTTTCCCCAATTTACAAAACACAAAAGGAATACGGGATAAAAAATTAAAAATCTAATTCCTTAGGTACACATTTTCACTCTAGTTCTCTTTTCCATTCTTCCCTTGATAAACACAGGGGATCCAAGTTTCCTATTTGAAAATGTTTGGATAACAACAATCAAAACCTCAGAGGGAACTTCAATTCCTTTAAGATCACAGATACATCTTGCAGACGAGTTAGTAAGTAAGCACAAAACTCAAGCCTACCACTTCCAATAGCCAGTCGCCTCCAATCAATTAAGAACAATTCAGAATCCTTTAGAAGACTGATCGAAGACGACAAAGTGTTTTTCAAAATTTAATGAGAGAATTCATTTAGCATCAGCACTATGAACTAAACAGATGGCACTGGTTACTTCTCAGTGACCAATCAATAGAAAAATATTTATTTGTCTGTATACTCATCTCTTAGTCTACTTGCGAATCAGTACCTGACTAATGACTGACTGACTCAGTTTCGGCACAGAACTTTGTACAGAAGTGCATCAGTTCAAGTTACCATAATCCATGTGATACGTAAAGGTAGCGACAAAAGACAGGAAGAAGAAAATCAGCGAAAATAATAAGTAGAAATATGAGGGACATAGGCGAACACAAAGGGCGAATTCATCTGCGCTATCAACGATGAATTTGAGTCATATCACCAGTAGGTCTCAAAACACTAGTTCTTGGCATCCTGAGGACTCCACCTACGCAGTCTACACCTCCCTAAGTGTCTGACTAGAGCCATTTGTCGATGCCTTCATGGATTTATGCCAGCTTTTTGCTTGACCATCCATCCCCACTCAGCTAACTCTTTTCTAAACTAATCTTTTATCACCTGAACTTGTTCGTTGAGGAAGACAGTGGCTTGGGATAAGTGCGTAACACATCTCTTAGTCATCTCAGTATATATATATATATGCATCAGTGTGCAGCAGTTCAATTCTCCACACTCCATGTAGCACACAAAGCAAGGGAATAAAGTAAAAAGAAATGCAAAATAGAGACAGTAAGCAGAGATATGAGATAAAAAGAATAGTAATATCGAAGAACCATAGAGTTTCATTGGATATTATAAGTCATAAAGAATGGATGCATCTGCACCAGCCATTGAAACTGAGTATTTTGAGCCAGCCATATCACCGATAATTGTCTCCAATCGTCATTGGTTTTTACCATCCCGAGGACTCCAACCGACCAGGATGTCTACACCTTCCTACGTGACTGGCTCGCTAGCTAAAACTAACTGTTGTGGATTTCATTGACTGATGAAGCCATGTTTTCGTTTGACCACCAGTGGCTCTTTTTCAGGCTGATCCATACTATGTCAGCTAACATTGCCCATTGTCAAGGAAGGCGATCGATTGCTAGACATGCATGTGTAACTCAAGTCCTAACCATCTCAGTCGATGTAATTTCACAGCCTCGTCGATTGGTTTCCCCTCCTACTTACCTAGCACTCGACAGACACCTAACCTCAGTATTGCTTACCCTACAATACCAGTTCACATAGGAGATGGAACGCAAGCACCTATGATCACAGACAGCTAACCTTTTCATATCTTACACTCTCGACGGCCATGTCTAACAGCCATCCATAAAGAAGGACAGAGAGGACTGCTAAGCAGTACACACACGTACTTTAGTCTGTCCTCAAAGACAGCTAACCTTCTTACATATCTTTTACTTTCAATGACAACGCCTCACAGTTGTAAAAAAAAAGTCACAGCAAATTCCTGTGTAGTAAACACGGCATTAGACCGGTAACCAGCTATCATATCTCTACACCAAGGATGAAGCTAGTAGTTGGCAAATCAGTGCATTTTAATATAAATAAATTATTAATTGGGACACGAATAATGACGGCTATGTTCAATAATTAAAAAGCCCCATTTATCAATATAAGAATATTTTTACTTCATATCTTGCTTGCTTTCTTTCTGTCTCTTTCTCGCCTAAATAATTCATTAATTCACAATAGAATAACTTTCTGTCATCATATCTCACTCGGCATAGGCATTAATAAATTTTTCCAATTCATTGTTGATTAATGTTTTGCATCAATAAATACAAAAAAACAATGATTCCTGTGACTATCAATTCTTCTTCACATTATCCCTAATACCACTGACATGTTTGTGTTCATATTCTGAAAGTGAATAGTTACCTAGACAGAAATAGTAGTAATGATAATGATAATATAATGCGACAAAATAAGAATAAATCATAAACCAACTGTGAGCTGTACTCATGTCAAACAAAGTGATAGATATACTTTTTGCGAGTTGATCACGGATTGATATCAGTTAGAGAACTATTGAAAACCAGTTCTGGAGTACTGGACAGCTGCTGTTTCATCCTAGTTTGAGAATCATCGGCAATACGCACCCATTGGGATTCGAACTCACGACCTTTCGGTCACAAGGTAAGCTGCCTCGTATACCATTCAGCCACTGGGACCTGACCCGATTCAATGACCAGCACATGAATTCTAACTTCTACGAATTCGTGATTTAGAGCGACCCCAACCATTGTCGTTGGTGGAACTCCCTGGTTTTCAATGGTTCTCTAACTGATATCAATCCTTGGCGAAACTCGTACAAACAAAACTAACCCTCACAAACCAAACTATAGAAAATTAATCTGATGCTCGTTAGTGACTTGTTACAGGACAGAGTTTCCTGGAGTGAGTTCTAGTGAGAAGTCGTGACCACTGTGAGGTCCATCCAGATGTCACGTGTGAGGATGGATGTCTCATTTACGACAATGGTTGAGGTTGTGCTACATCACGAATCGGTAGAAGTTAGAATTCATGCTCTGGACATTGAATCGGGTCCCAATGGCTGAATGGTATACGAGCCAGCTTGACTTGTAGCCGGAAGGTTCTGGGTTCGAATCCCAGTGAGTGCGTACTGCCGATGATTCCCAAACTAGGATGAAACAGCAGCTGTCCAGTACTCCAGTACTGGTTTTAAATGGTTCTCTAACTGATATTAATCCGTGATCAACTCGGAGAAACATAACTAACCCTTACAAATCAAACTATAGAAAAGTGATATATATACATATGTATATAGTTAGCTGGTGGATTTTTGTTCATCAAGTCAACATGAAATACGTGAGCAATAGGAATGACACACAATGCCTATCTCGAAAATATATATGGAAAACTGGATTAAAAACCATGAGACCTTAGGAACATAAGTATATAAGACGGATATAAAAGCCTTGTGTGAATATTGGTAGAAGTTAAAATTCATTAGCTGACAATTGAATCGAGTCCCGGTGGCTTGACTTCTAACCGAAAGGTTCAGCGTTTTGAACCTTGATGGGTAGATGCAGTTGAAGATTCAATGGTTGGTTCAATGGTTGTGCAACTAATATCAATCCGTGATAAAACTTGAGGTAAACCAAATCCGTAGAAACCAAACCTTGGAAATTAATCTGATCCTCACTGGTGACTGTTTCAGAACAAATTTTCCTGGAGTTCAGTGAAAGGGCCACGGTCCACCCGGTCCGCAATGAGGACAAATACTAGCCAATAACATGGACCGGTGACCACGTTAAAATCACGAATTGATAGATGTTAGAATTCATGGACGATTGAGTCAGGTCTGAATTGTTCAATGCTGTAAGGGCTTGAGGTGTTACTGGAAGGTCATGGCTTCGAACCCTGGCGTCGAGCGCGTACTCCCAACAAGTCCCATATCGAAATAAAACAGGCATTCAGTACTGCCTACTGGTTTCAATTTCAATGGTTCTCTAACTGACATCAGCCCGTGGTCAAACTTAAAATATATATATATATATTCCTTTACGTTCCCAGTGGGACATAAGGCTTCAAGCTAGAGCTTGGAAGTTTCGATAGCAGTGGTGCTGATGTTTTAACGGAATGGGGTTGCTAACCTCACGCCCAACCTTCCCTCTTTACCAGTTTTATTACTTCCCTCGGCCGGGGATCGAATCCCGAACTAGAAGAAGCGTGGTTGGCGAGTATTCTACTGGTGTGCCACCAACGCACATATATTGAATATAATTATGTGGAATAATAAATTGTGTTTAGAACATCAACCAATCATGAATACTGTATAATTGTATGTTATGTCAAACATACACACACACACACACACAATACTTGTCAAGTGATATTCATTAATAAGCGATAATCTCGTTCTTTTTGTTCACAAATTATGCTATACAAAAATGAATAGTCTCTGTCTCGAATCGAATAAGCTTCGAAGAGAATGTGTCTGCTTACAGCATAATTTAAGCTGAAGATTGGAGAAGACTTTCTTGTTTTCAACAGAAAGACTCAATAAGGAACTCATAATTGTTGAAAAATGTTCCTACGAGAAATTGGTTCATCTCAAAAGTTTATTGATAAATGCATAAAGAACATCCATTATGAAGGCAAAATTAGAAACAGTGAGAAAGAGAAAAACCCAGCCTGCTTAAAACCGGGATTCAAAGATGACCAGAAGTAGACCTATCCAGCTGCTGAGCTAGTTAAACCCTAGAGAAAAAGTTGCTCACAGAAACAATTCAGGAGGGGGGGGGTTGACAAATGTCCATTTCATGTTGCCTCAAACTGTCATAGCAGAAAGAAAGATTTTGTGACAGTGCATATTTAAGCACATTCAGAAGAAAACTGTGACTGAACAGTGTGTGTAAGTCTTTAGCAATGCAATCACCTTCATATCTTTATGATCTGTGGTCATGAAATCAATGCTTTTAAAACCATTCAGTATAATAATTAAGTAGCCCCCAGTGGCCTAGTGGACAACGTTACGATATTCAAAACGATGCCTTCAGAGTTTGAGTAATAATGAGAATAAAACTAACCACTCTATAAAGTTCAGGCATGTACAGATAGATGACAAGTCCCAACTAGGGTGAAATTCGCATGCTAGATTCTCCACTGCAACTCACCATCCATCACATAACACCATGTTAATCCTGAGACACCTTTCAGGCATGAGTTTTAGTATATTGTAGTACAGATCAACAAATGCCGACCACTTCGATCAAGGTAATCTACAGTGGGAAACATTAGAGCCAGTGGTAGAATTTTTACCAACCATACATGTGATCCGAGGTTCCATTCTCCGGTCATCGAGCCTTCAAAAGCTGGCAAAGGGGGAAGGTTAGGTGTCAGATTAGTACCCCTACTGCGTAAAACCAAACTATATCTACTGGAATTTCAAGGCTGTATAGACTACAGCCCTTTTTTCCACTGGAAACGTAAAGGAATTAGGAAAAATCTATAAGTAAAATCCTTGTTAGTTCAGAAAGAAATTGTTGTGAATCTCCCCCCTAACAAGGTGAATATATATACAGACATATTTTGTTATTTTATACCATTATACATACGCAACTTGATTATTGGTTAACCGCTACCAACAATTAAATTATTTAACCCTTGGGTAAAATATATCATCAAGGTTTACGCATCTAATGCGTTTTCGCCGATTCCATTCCTATTTGGTGATGGAGAATTCGACCAGTGGTAGCTAATGTGTCCATGGAGCTTGGAATCACTCCTCCGTCAACTTCAGTCCACACGACTAGGTAGTAAGCACCACCAGTCATCGTACAGCAAGTATGGCTAACAGAACGATGCATGAGAAAAAGGCTCTGAGAGTTAACTTGAATCAAACATTAAGTTGAAAAGATTTTCCACTTTAAGTATTGGTTTCGTAGGGATTTGTTTCATTGGTTGGAGGATTTCATCATGAGAGGACATCAGTTAGAGAACCATCGAAAACCAATCCTGGAGTACTGGACAGCTAGATGTTTCGTCAGCCGACTTTGAGACTACTCATCAGTACGTACCACCCCGCTGGGGTTCGAACCCATGACCTTCTAGTTACAAGGGGAGCGAGCTGGTAGACTATTAAGCCATTGGGACCCGGTTGAACTCATGACATAGCACGACCACTAGGTGATGTCTTCTTCAATGATTAACTGTCCTCACCTTCGTTCTACTGTACCCTGATGGTCATGGCTTACCACTGGAACCCCAAGTAACTGCCTGAATAGGGCCGGTCACTAGGGAGCATCAGAGCTCGCCTTGCAATCAGAAGGTTATGGATTCAAACCCCAGCGGGGTGTGTGTGTGTGTGTGTGTGATGAAGAGTCGCAAACTAGGTTGACGAAACAGCTGGTTGTCCAGTATTGTCCTGACTGATTTTCCAATGGTTCTCTAACTGATGTCAGCTCATGATGAAATCCTCCAATCGATTTTCTATTTTAGAAAAATAGCAATTTAACTAGATAAGAAGGAGTTGCATACTGCTTTAACCAACATCCTATATACACACACACGCATGTATACAGTTATGTAACTATAAAAAGGGTACAAACACACACACACACACACACAGACTCATAGACACATAGACATACACTGAAAAATTATATGAGTTGAACAACAACTACAGAAAAATAAATGGATAAATCGACAACAATCTTTAAATAAAATGTTTTTTGTTAAATTGCTTTAATTATTATTGTAATTTTTTTCTGAAAAACTTTTTAATACATTACATCAATGCATGCTTGCTTGCTAGCCAAAATCGATAACAGAGTTATGTGAATTGAAGAGGGAGAAAGGAAAAAAAGTAAGAGGAATCATTATTTTCTCAAACATTAGAAAATTAGAACTTTCATTTCAATGACTCTAAGCGTGGTTGGTATTGTTGTTTCGCCTGTTTATGACTTTTCAAACAAGGTTAAGGATAAATAAACTCTTGCATATGACTGCCCCCCGCCCCACCCCACCCCCCGACTTTAAGTATATGCTTGAATTCACCTGCTTCTGTGCAGGTAGGTGTGTATGAGTTGTTCTACGTGTTGCGACCAGTACTGATTCGTTCGTTTTAGTCTGAACTTAGGGAATCCGTTTTTTTTTTGTAGTCTGTTGTATGACTGTTCGAAACTTCCTTGAGAGATACACAGTCACAAACGCGTCAAAGACAGTAAAAAGACGATAATTCGTCGATAAATCTATGTGATTCTCAACAGTGTTGTTGGACAGCTCTATATACAGAGAAGGCAACTTCCTAAATACAAAACAAGTACGTAGAATCAGGTGGAATATACCCCAATAAAGTGGGACTACCAAATAAACTCTGTCTACAAGAATCACGCATCAAAAAATCCCACAGACAGTCCAAAATCAGGATCATCTACATTCATCCTAACAATTTACTGCACAACCACGTAAAGAAGCAGTCAAATTAGAGATTGAATAGGGACAAACATGGACAATAAAGATCAAGTCAACCTATGATATATACAAATGTCAGAACAATGCAGTGATATACAGTGTAGAAGAAAAACTGATAATAATTATAGTGTTAGATGAAATCCTCCCTGAAATCAAACAAACAGATCCCTACAAAACCAATACTTGAAAATTGATCTGATGCTCACTAGCGACTGGCCCTATTCAGGTAGGTAGTTACTTGGGGTTCTAGTGGCAAGCTGTGTCTAGTAGGGTCCAACAGGTCGAAGATGAGAACAGTTGCTAATCGAAGAAGACATCGTGAAGTGGTCGCACTATGTCATGAATTGGCAAAAGTCAGAATTCGTGGGCTGGTGATTGGATCGGGCCCCAGTGGCTTAATGGTCTACGAGAGAGCTCACCTTGTAACCAGAATGACCTGGGCTCAAACCCTAGCGGGGTGGGTGCGTACTGATGAAGAGTCTCCAAGTAGGATGGCGAAACAGCTGGCTGTCCACCACTCCGTTACTGTTCTCCAATGGTTCTCCAACTGATATCAGCTGATGATGAAATGCTCTAACTAATCAATCAAAATTCCCTACGAAACCAATACTTGAAAATTATAATGTCAGTTGAAATATCCAAATAAGTACTAATATTGTGATTAAATTGTTCAGCAGAAACCTTGCAAAACATTATTCCCTTACACTATGTGTATCATGTGGAAACAAGTCAAAGAACATTAACAAGTATGACTGTAAACAGACGTCAACCGCGTGGATCAAAAGTGCTAGAAGTGAACAACCTTCACAACATATCAACTGATTAATCATTCAAAGTCACTTATAGAACAGTGGCGAGATTTCTACCGAGGAGAGTTTGTTTTCGATATTTTGACTCGGAAGAGAACTTTGTATGGAGAAGTTAAAGTTATGCGTGTTCAAATTAATCAAGGTGACCGGATATAACTATGGTAACTAGTAAAACCAAAAGGTATTTTAGATAATTAATGGAATTATCGGTAAGAAACCTTGGACATAGGTTTCATGGTTGTTGGAACACGTGAGTAAGACTTGTCTGCAATCTTGAAAGAACTCATGTCCCCTCTATGATTTATTTCTGCACTGCAATGGCAAGCCATCTAGCTTGGCAACTGATAAAATTCAGTTTGTATTTCCACTGAAGGCTAGACACATTATTATTATTATTATTGTTTCCTTGAGGGCTTCAAATGCACGTCTCCACTTGCTTCTGTCTTCTGCTGTGCTTTTCACCTGTATACATCTTATTCCATACTGTTTCAACTCCTCTTCACACGATTTCCTCCATGTCACCCTCGCACTGACGAACAACTCGCCGCTTCTCTTTCGGGTTCTACTCGAGCAATGGCCTGACGCGCGCGCAATGTCACCCAGCGGCCTCCTCAGCCGCAAGTGTTCAATCCATCTCCACTTCCTCCTGCATATTTATTGGGCTAGACACATGACACTGATTATACCAAAGTGACCAGTCAATGTATGCATTAGAGTTCGGAAGGAGGTCAGTCGTGAACCCGAACAGATTAATGGTTACACACCAGTGACTTCATAACAGGGTATCTCAAGTTCTAATCTCAAAGGGAGCATGAGTACTTTCAAGATTTCTATTCTTAGTAGAGGAAGACTATCTCACACTACTCACTGGTGATCCAGGCACACACACACACAAATGACGAGTTTTAGTTAGGACGAAACACGAGCACCAGATTCCTTTGCCAGGCACCACAAAATGTAAAAATAAAGTATTGTTCAACTAAACTCATAGAAAATATCACACACGCACACACACACACACACAACTACTCACCTTTATTATTGTACACATCTAAATAGTTTGGTGCTGAGAAAATTGTGATCAGTGCAGGAAAGCCAGTTTGTCTGCTCTTTCTGTACATACGATAACTATTTGTTTTCGTTTTGTTATTTTGATTGTAATAAGTAATGAGAATTTCAGAAATATAAATAAATAATTAGATAATCAAATAACAATCTTATATTTTTTTTAAACAAAAACAAAATCAGAAAAGGAAATTTGAAACATGAGTAGTGATCGTTTGTAGAAATTAAATTATCGTGTTATGAGGGTTTTTCCATTCCTCCACCTGAAGTGTATTACATCCATTTTTTATTTTCAAATGTTAGTTAGTTAGTTAGTTTGTAGGGATTTGATAGGTTTCAAGTTTGAGCACGGATCGATATCGGTTTTGAGAACCAGTGACTGACTACAGGACGACATTGCCTGAAGTTTTCTAGTGAGAACTTGTGACCAGTGGCCTACACTAGATCATGTTGTGAGGAGGAATATTCACCAACGGCATAAGCTGGCGGTAGTGACGCTAGTCATCAGTCGATGGAAGCTAAAACTGATGAGCCTGTAGTGCACCTTGAATGTTTGAACTTTTGTGTTACCTAACGATACAACATGTACAAACTGGTGCCAAGGCCATTTTTGTCTCACTCTCCCCTGCTTATGTAATCGACAGTTTACATTCTCTGAGTCAGCTGTTTGTACACAGCCTATCAAATGAGTGCAGTAGAGAATATTAGTCCGTCTGTCTGTAGAGAAGGATGAAACTAACTGTATACCTGCTAATTAGCTTGGAAATAGATGCTGATTATAGACAGAACCAAAAGCCATACTTAGAAGTTGATATTCTTCAGCAGTCATTTTACCGATAAAATACCTACATTTTAATAGGCTTTCTCTAAATAGCAAGCTATAAACGAGCATCAATCAAGAGTCTATACTTAGAGCTAAGAGAATATGCTCTGTACAAAGAAATTAGAGGAAGAATTTATGCTTCTCGAAAAGATATTGAAAAGCAATGGTTACACCCTCATAGGTTCATTAACAAGTATGAAAGATTTGAAGGCTTAGATGTCAAGCAAATCACAGTGGAATAAAAAAGCCCATCTATATTCAACTTATACATCTCATCTAAAGGTTGTACGACAATGCTGAATGCCAAGTAATCCATAACGGGAAACTTACGGAATCCTTCGAAGTGATGATGGGAGTGAGGCAAGTCTGTCTACTATCACCAATTATCTTCCTGATTGCAGTAGATTGGATAATGCGACAGACAGCCGGCCGCGCAATGAGGAAACAGGCATAAAATGGACTCACAAAAAAAGAGACTTGGAGGATCTGGACTTCGCCGATGACATATATATGTCTGATTTCCCACAAACTGGAAGATATGCAACTTAAAAGCAACAAGTTGTCAGCAGAAGCATCAAAGATAGGACTTCAAGTGAACATAGACAAAACAAAGGTGATGAAGATTCCTGGCCAACACCAACAGTAGTAACAACAGACAACAATCAGCCATCAGAAATGGGAGGAACCTGAAAGAAACAACCTTATTTATCTAGATAACCAGGAAGCATCGTTTCAACTACAGCCCGACGGAACTGACGAGGATATGAAAGCCAGAATCGGAAAAGCGAGACAAGCTTTGATTACTCTTGAGTCTGTGTGGAATTCAACAGAACTCAGCGTGAACATGAAAAATAAGATCAGAATTTTCAACTCTAATGTGAAGTCACTGCTACTTTATGGATCAGAAACTTCACGCGTCATAAAGAGCATCTCAAACAAACTACAGAGCTTCATTAACAGTTGTCTTCGCTCAATACCACTCAAGACCAGATGGTCAGCCAAAAAGTCAGTAACAGGGATCTCTGGCAGTGGGCGAACCAACCAGGAACCGATTGTGGAACAAATAGGCAGGAAGAAATGGAGATGGATTGGGTGGTCATACTCTGAGGAAACACGCCATCAAGCGACATCACTAGACAAGCCATCACTCGAGTGGAACCCGAAAAGGAAGCGGCGAGTCGGTCGTCAATGCAAGGGTGACTTGGAGGAGGTCATTTGAGGAGGAGATGAAAGCATGTGGGCAGACTTGGAGCAGGGTTAAAAAGTTGGCAGAAAACCGAACGCAATGGAGGTGCGCAGCTGAAGCCCTATGTTCCTCTAGGAATTAAAGGATATAATAAATTCAGCTTGATTTTAAAAGTAAAAATATGATAACGATTGTCAACAGAAGATTGACAACGTCGCTAGGTATAGCCTATCCTGAAGCTAAGCTTCTTCCCGTCTATCGAACAACTTGCTCTTTGGTGTAGTCAAAAGTTGAGAAGGGACCCTTCTCATGTTAACTCTGGCTGTGTGTCTATACAATTTACAGACATCTATTGGGAGTAGTTACGTCGAGAAAACATGAAGAAGAGGAGCATATCTAGGATTTTCCGAACATTTACCAAAAAGCCTATGTCTAAAGGAAGAAATGCTTTAAACAGTGCCATCGCCAGGCATCTCTTCTTGGCGATGCACCTCCTTGGTTATGAGGTGGGCATCGCAAGATCATTCAGAATTATCAGAATTACGGAGATGAACTCAATTCACCTTAAGTTTGCCAAAGCAATCTTCATCAAGCGTCGGAAACGGCTCTATGCGTTCATTCTTTCCTTAATGAAAACAAAACACGTAGATCAGCGAAGAGTCTCTTTTCGGCGAATTCATTTTCTTAGCTGTACAATCGCAAATATATATGCATTGTTTTGTATGTATGTGTACATTAAGTTTGTCAAACAAAGTTACAATTGGTTAAGGTTACTTTTAACTAAACAAGTGAAGGATGGTAATACAGGTCAAGAAAATTAAGTGCTAATGAAACTAGGGTAGTAAAAAAATGATGAGTTGTCACAAACAGTTGTAATAATAATAGTGAGTTTTACTCAGGATGCACATAGAAACAAAGTAGATAATACGAAACTATGTAAGAGATCTAAGTGGATACAAGAATTATAATTGCTTAAGGTTATTTTAACTAAACAGGTAAAGGTTGGTAATATAAGTCAAGACCATTAAGTGCTAGGGTAGTAACAAAGGTGATGAGTTGTCACAAACAGTTGTTAAAAGAAGTTATGCAATAATAATATGAATAGTTTGATGAGTGAGTTTTACTCAGGATGCACATAGAAACAAAGTAGATAATACGAAACTATGTAAGAGATTTAAGTGAATACAAGAATTATAAGCAATTAAGGAACAGGCGAAGAAACAAAATTAAGTCATCAAAATAAAAATAAAAGCTCAAAACAAATCAAAACATTGTTACCATGAGAGTAGAAGTGGTTGAGTAATCTTCTTTTGTATGCACAGCTCCGGTTTTTCCATGTGAATGGCCAGAGCTTCAGCGATGCAAAGGAGACGAAACCGTATTGCCTTTGATATGTTATTCTTGACTCTGTAGATTACTTTGAAGGAGGCGTTCGTTGAAATGCAATGATCAGTGTTGACCAGGTGTTCAATTATCGCACTCCTTATTGCACCAGTATTGCCTTTTCGCAACCATGCTGGATAATGTTCTTGAATTCTCTTGGACAGGATGCGCGTCGAACGACCGATGTACCTGGCTCCACAGCAGCAGGTGAACTGGTATATGCACATAGAAGTGGCCAGATGCGGGATCTTGTCCTTGAGGCTTCTGCAGATCAGTGGGCGACTGGAGAACACTATTCGTAGCGTTGCTGCAAAGAACGTTCTTCTCAGAGATGATGTGATCCTTCTCTTGAGAATATCGCTTGCTAAATCTCCCTTGAAATCCAAATTCATGTAGATTTTCTTTTTAGGCACAGTTAAAGTTTCGTTTTTCCGAATTATTGGTTTCATATTTTTGTCGATAAATCTTATTGGGTATCCATTTTGGATGAATATTTCTCTCAGAATATCTAATTCTGTTTCCAGAACGTCGGGACTACAGATGCGTCGGATGCGGGTAGCAAGTGATTTAATTAAGTTTCGCTTTTGTTGAATGGGCACCCAGCTATAGAAGCTTGTTAGTTGACCATTCCACGTAGGTTTTCTATGGATTGATCTTCTTAGGCTCCCATCAGCTCTTCTTGTCAGTTCCACATCAAGAAACGGAATTTTTGACTCGTTTTCCATTTCAAGAGTGAATTTTATTGCTGGATGGCAATTGTTAAATGTCTTCAGCAGCAGATTGGGGTCGTTGTTGTTGTCACAAATAATGAAAATGTCATCCACGTATCTTTTATACAGTCGCAAATTGTCGATGCTTGGCTTTAGTGAACCTCTCTCGAGGCTTGCCACGAAGCAATCTGATAGTAGTGGACCCAACGGAGATCCCATTGCAATACCATCCTTTTGTCTGTAGATGGTGTCGTTGAATGTGAACTGGACGTTCAGAGTGCATCTCAATAATAGTTCTTTCAAGTATGTTGTCGGTATTCCAATATCGAGGTGACTTAATTTTGTTTCTTTGCCTGTTCCTTAATTGCTTATAATTCTTGTATTCACTTAAACCTCTTACATAGTTTCGTATTATCTACTTTGTTTCTATGTGCATCCTGAGTAAAACTCACTCATCAAACTATTCATATTATTATTGCATAACTTCTTTTAACAACTGTTTGTGACAACTCATCACCTTTGTTACTACCCTAGCACTTAATGGTCTTGACTTAGATTACCAACCTTTACCTGTTTAGTTAAAATAACCTTAAGCAATTATAATTCTTGTATCCACTTAGATCTCTTACATAGTTTCGTATTATCTACTTTGTTTCTATGTGCATCCTGAGTAAAACTCACTATTATTATTACAACTGTTTGTGACAACTCATCATTTTTCACTACCCTGGTTTCATTAGCACTTAATTTTCTTGACCTGTATTACCAACTTTCACTTGTTTAGTTAAAAGTAACCTTAACCAATTGTAACTTTGTTTGACAAACTTAATGTACACATACATACAAAACAATGCATATATATTTGCGATTGTACAGCTAAGAAAATGAATTCGCCGAAAAGAGACTCTTCGCTGATCTACGTGTTTTGTTTTCATTAATGCCTGGATGGGGATTATCCATTCTTTCCTTGCCCGGCCTGGTAACCTGCATATTTTTTTCCACCCTTTCTTTCATCTGATCACGTAATGCCAAAAGTTTCCATTATGTATCATAATTATTGTTCGAGACATGCTTATTATTATTATTATTATTATATATTATTATTGTATGCATATATCGATTGATTTCTGTTTAGAAATGAACTCTGTGCAAGTATGTGAAAAATTGTTTCTATAGATATACTACTTAATAATGAATGACTTTGACGTGTAAACAGTTGAGGTGATGAGAAGCCAACAAAGAAAATAAGCAATGATGGTACCATTTTATTATTCTGTACAAACCACACTGTTGTTCCTGCTTTATTCAAATTCATTAAAAAAGAGGGAATAAATGCATCAAAAAAGTATGCATTCACTAAGTTGATTAATGCAGAGAATTACATTCTGTGATATAGGTTGAAAGTCAGTAGGTAGGAAGTAGCTGGTGGACGCAACTTAAGTTATATTACTTCAACAAAACATACACCTAAGAAATAACTAATATTCTCCTCAGTAATTATTTTTCCTTTTAAGATCATTTTGAATAATTTTGAATACTTGCCTCTACGATCCCATCATATATTTATTCTGATGAAAAATGTCATCGAGTGAATATCTTCTCCTCACTCCTTCCTTATATTACAAATTTTATTCATGTAACTGATATGTATCCACAGGATGTGTGTGTTTTGTTTTTGACAGTCTATTGTATTTTGCTATGTGTATATGGGTAGATATTTCATTATAAATGACAATATGCTTTTGTCTGTCCACTAACTAAATAAACAATGTATGACCTTGTTATCACATGACATTACAACCAATCATGATAAAACTGGTCTGTCTATTGACTCATGTGTATTAGCCATTTTCATATATACTTTTGTATTAGACACTTGTTCACACTTGTTCCCACGTTTCGTACACTGCGTACCATTTCACTCACACACTTGTGTGACATTTATTTTCTCTGTCTGGAAAATACAAATATCATCTTAAACCTGATGGTCTTCTGATTTCCGTCTTTCCGCGTCAGGACTAAATAACTACTCGACGAGTACATAACATAATTGGCGAAGGGGAAAACTATACTGTTAACCACTCAGCAGCAGTTCATAACAGTAACATATTCAATAAATAAACGCGAATGAAGCTAAAATATCTAGAGAAAAAAGGCAATGTCAAGTCCAATATTTCTGTATAAAACATATCTTCAAATATCATCAGATTTCTTAAGGTATTTATTTCCAGGATAATCAAACTTTATTGCTCTTTAAAACTTTAAACAAAACAGAAAAGTGAAAGAAAAAATAATCTTCAAGGTATTGGGTTTTGTAGGGGTTTTGTTCGATTGGTTGGTTGGAGGATTTCATCATGAATTGATATCAGTTAGAGGAAGAACCATTGGGAAATCTGCAGGAGTACTGAACAGCTACCTGTTTTGTCAGCCTAGTTTTTGGACACTTCAGCAGTATGTCATGAATAGGAAGAAGTTAGAATTCATGTGTTGGCCATCATCGGATCGGGGGTCCCAGTGGTCTAATGGTCTACGAACTAGCTTGTTGACTTTGTAACCAAAAGGTCCTGGGTTCGAACTCTCTGTCGGTGGATGCGCACTGATGGGGAGTCCCAAACCAGGCTGAAGAAACAGCTGGCTGTCTAATGCTCTCTACAGGTTTTCCAAATGGTTCTGTAATTGATGTCAGCTCATGACATTCTGGAAGCAGAATTAGATATTCTAAGAGAAATCTTCATCAAAAATGGATACCCAATAAGATTCATCCACAAAAATATCAAACCAAGAATTCGGAGAAACGAAACTTTCATTGCGCCTAAAAAGAAACTCTTTATGAACTTGGATTTCAAGGGAGATTTAGCAAGCGACATTCTCAAGATAAGGATCACATCATCTCTGAGAAGAACATTCTTCTTGCAGCAACGCTAAGAATAGTGTTCTCCAGTCGCCCACTGATCTGCAGAAGCCTCATGGACAAGATTCCACATCTGACCACTTCTATTACTTCACCTGTTGCTGTGGAGGCAGGTACATCAGTCGCTCGACGAACACCTAGTCCAAGAGGATTCAAGAACACTATCCAGCACGGTGGCGGAATAGCAATAGGGGTGCTTTAAGTAAGGCGATAATTGAACACCTGGTTAACACTGATCATTCCATTTTAGCAAACGCCTCCTGCTTCAAAATAATCTGCAGAGTCAGAATAACCTATCAAAGGCAATACGGTTTCGTCTCCTTTGTATCGCTGAAGCTCTAGCCATTCACATAGAAAAACCAGAGCTGTGCATACAAAACAAGACTACTCAACCACTTCTACTGTCATGGTAACAACGTTTTGCTTTGATTTGAGTTTTTGTATTTTGATGACTTAGTTTTGTTTCTTTGTCTGTTCTTTAATTGCTTATAACTACTGTATCCACTTAGATCTCTTATATAATTTGGTATTATCTACTTTGTTTCTATGTGCATCCTGAGTAAAACTCACCAAACTATTCATATTATTATTACATAACTTCTTTTAACAACTGCTTGTGACAACTCATCACTTTGTTACTACCCTAGTTTCATTAACACTTCATTTTCTTGACTTGTATTATCAACCTTCACCTATTTAGTAAAAATAACCTTAACCAAGTGTAATCTTGTTTGACAAACTTAATGTACACATACATAAATACAAAATATCACATATATATATGCGATTGTGCAGCTAAGAAAATGAATTCGCCGCCTAAAAGAGACTCTTCACTGATCTACGTGTTTTGTTTTCATGATGAAATCCTCCAACCAATGAAACAACGACATAAACTAAAAATTGGGTCAGAATAAACATCAGAGTTAAATGTTAGAATTATCACAAAGGTCACACTATATATTGCAGAAAATCAACACCAACAACAACAATTCGATGAGTATACCTACCCGGCATCTTGAGCTTCATGAGCACGTATAATCGATAGTAAATTATTAGCTTGTAAGAAATGACAGCATGCATTAAAACTGTAAAAATATGAACATCCACGAACAGTATTATGACTAAAATGTTCTGAATTTCTTTCTTGACCAAAATCTTCACATGGATCAGCCCATAATAAATCACACATTGCACCGAATGCTGGAGGTTCTTTAAATCTATCCAACTGTAAAAACGGAAAATATTCAACAACAAACAAAAACAATTCGTAAAGTCACACATAAATATACGTTATTCTGAAAAAAACGTGAACTCAGAAGTTCCACCATATCGTATACTACTAAGAATAATATAAATAAGTGCCCGTTAAACGAAAACGAAATCTAATTAAATTACTTGTCAATCGGATCCAACGCACTGGTAGTCCTGATGTGGTGAGAGCAGGCTGCTAGCCAATTGGTAGACATCAATTTACGTCAATGTCTAGGTCACTAATATTGGCCGTGAGAAAATATGAACAAGGCTGATTCAACAGCTAATCACAGCAACTTCAACGTGGTCAAATATGATTCGCAGATAGATGGCTCCACTTTTCGATGTTACCCGAAACAACCAATCAGAAGCCTGCGTTTGTCCGCTTAACTTCCAAGAAACGACCAATCAGATGACTGCGTTTGTCTACTTGCATAAGCTATGATAATGTACAGGAAATATATATAAATACGTGTTGATTTCCGTAATAAAACGGTCTGTTGCCTGGCCCTTGTCTTCTGTTGTTACACTGACACCTTAGAAGCAGAATTGAATCTTCTTAAAGCAAACTTCATCCAAAATGGATACCCATCCATCGACAAGAATACTAAACCAAAAGTCCAGAGGAACGAAACATTACTTGTTTCGAAAAAAATAAACTTTACATGAACCTGGATTTCGAGAGAGACTTGTACTGAAATATCCTTAGAGGGGAGAATTTCAGCATCTTTGAGAAGAACATTCTTCTCAGCAACACGTTAAGAGTAGCATTCTTCAATTGTCCATTGGTATGCAGAAGCCTTAAGAACAAGACCCGGCATCCGACCACTTATATGTGCATATATCAGTTCACGTGTTCCTGTGGAGCCAGTCGGGTAGATTGGTCGTTCAACGTGTATCTCGTTCAAAAGGATTCGACAACACTATCTGGCATGGTTGCCAGAAAAGTAGCAGTGGGTCTATAAGGAGTGAGACAATGGAACACCTTGTCAACACTAACCATTCCATCTCAACAAACGCCTCCTGCTTCAAAGTAATGTACAAAGTCAAAAAATAATCTACCAAAGACACACACTACGCTTTCATCTCCTTTGCATTGTAGAAGTATTAACGATTTAGTTAAAAAAAAAAAAATCATTCAACCACTTCTACTATCGTGGCAACAACTCTGTTTATTTCTACTGACTCTGTTTTTTGTGTGTGCCTGCCTTTCTAACTCCTTATAACCCTTGTATTTCTACACAACTCTTACGTAATTCAACGTTTTCCTTCGTCTCTATGTAAATCCTAATCAAAACTCACTCATTGAATTATTCATATTGTTACGGCAACTATAATACACTCTTATGCATTCATTGACTAATACTGACAACTATGTTTCTTCTTTGACAACTCATTACTCCACTACCCTCTTACCAATCTTCACCCCCCCACCACCACCACCACCACCACCTCAACTAGTTACAATCTGATTATTCAACTTTTTAGAATATTTTGATGACGTTAAAACAACAAACCTAAATAATTTCTTGTCTGATAAGGCCAATGTATATATATTCAAAAAAAATTGAATATAATCGCAATTGTACAGCTAAGTGAATGAATTCTCCGAAAAGAGACTCTTCGTTGAACACTATGCGTTTTGTTATTCATCAACGTCTGGATGGGAATTATTCATGAATTATTATTATTCATGAATTGATGATGATGACGGTAATGATGATAATAATAAAGCTTTATTTAAGACTGTATGTGAACACATAATACAGAAGTTCCCAGAGTATTCACTTTCAAAATATTTCATCTTTATTACAGAATTTACAAGTAATAATCTGAAGTGTGATAGAGAAGATTTGTACCTCATGTAGATGATTTTGATGTAATTGTGTTCTCTGAGCTGGAAGGTCATTTTGCGAAGCTTTCATCACACTAATAGGTGACATCTTCAGCGAATACTTCAATTCAATGAAGTGAGCTTTTAGATTTCTCCACGAGTTTATTATTCATCTCTCCTGGTAGGTGACCTTCGACGTCGTGATTGTTTGTTTTTGTGTGTTCTCACACCTTCTGGGCTACAAGTATTGGAACTGGTTGTTTCTTTGACTTCTACTTTGACCCCTTGTGTGTGAAGTCTCTTTCTTATCGGTTGATAAATTTTTTCTATCTGGATGTGTCTATTGATTGATGATTCACTGGAATGCCAAGCTTCTAAAAGTTCTCTAGCATTCTTGTTGTTTCCTCTGTCTAATATTAAAAAGCTGGTTATCCCAGTCGAATTGATGTCCGTGGTTGTCTGTATGCAGTGATATCAGGGAGTGGATATCATGTCTTTTGACGGCTAGTTTCTGATCATGGATACGAAGACGAAGGGAATGTCCACTTTGGCCAATGTAGTGCTTTTGGCCGTTGTTACAATTTCTTTTTGTAGATGATGGTGGTTTTATCTTCTTTCGATGTTGAGTATTTTGGTTGACATAGAATTGAGTGGAGCGACTTTGTTGGTTTGTGTACGACGTCAATTCCTAAAGGTTTGAAGAGTCTTGTAGTGATTTCTGAGGTATCCTTTATGTCTAGTAAGGCGGTTTTCTTTGTGCTTTCCTTGGGGGGCTTTTGGTTTGATAGGTTGGCTTGGGGGTATATCTCACATCACTACATACAGACAACCACGGACATCGATTCGACTGGGACAACCAGCTTTTAAATATTAGACAGAGGAAACAACAAGAGTGCTAGAGAACTTTTAGAAGCCAGCTTGGCATTCCAGTGAATCATCAATCAATAGACACATCCAGATAGACAAAATTTATCAACCGATAAGAAAGAAACTTCATACACAGGGGATCGAAGTTCAAGCCAAAGAAACAATCAGTTCCAATACAAGCAGCTGCCTAGAAGGTATGAAAATACACAAAACCAACCAGTCACAACGTTCAAGGTCACCTATCAGGAGAGATGATTAATAAACTCGTGGAGAAATCTAAAAGCTCACTTCAAATTGAAGTATTCGCTGAAGATGTCGCCCGGCAGTGTGATGAAAGCTTCGCAAATCAACCATCCAGCTCAGAGAACGCAACCACATCAAAATCTAAAGTGTATCATGTGATGTAGTGTTATTGTGGCGAGTGCTACTGATAACTTTTATAAGTAGCATATAAAGAGACATTCATCGACTAGTATAAAACAACATCAAATAGCAGGAAGATACATTTAATTTCATAGAAGACAAATGATACAGCGTTGTAGAGATAAATGGAAAACGTGAAGTTCAAAAGTACCAAAACACGAAAATCTGTCCAGATAGTGCGTTGAAGATAAGGTATACATAATATGACCGTTACCAGTAGGGTACAGCAGGTTGAAGAGAATGAGGTAGTAATTCATCGAAAAAGACATTGTGGAATGGTAGCGCTATGTCATGAATTAGCAGAAGTTAGAATTCAAGGACCATTGGATCAGAAGGTCCTGGGTTCGAACCCCGGTGGGTGCGTACCGATGAAGAGTCCCGAACTAGGACGAAGCAGCTGTCCAAAACTCCTTGACGGGTTTTCCAGTGTTTCTCTAACTGATGTCAGCTCATGATGAAATCTTCCATGCAATAAAGAGAGATACCGCTTTACATTGGTACATACGACGAGAGAACCAGGTCTCTATACCCTTTTTTTCATTTCCTTCAACAATCTCAGAGCCTTTTGCTGAAAGCTAACCAAATACATACACAATTTCATGTAGTGACCATCTAATATAATTTTATGAATAAAACAATAAGAAATGAAGAATAGTTTAGGCAGCATTTTGATGGATGGACGAAAATTCTGATGCCTCAATTATTTAGGCGGGTTGCATGAAGTTACTTATCTCATGGATACAAAGATGAAGAGGACGTTAACTTATGGGACGATGTAGTCATTGCAACTTATTTTGTAGATGATGTTGATGTTTTGTCTTTTTTTCGTTGTTAAGTCTTTTGATTAATACAGAATTGAGTGGAGTGATTTTGTTGGTTTGTGTGCGACATCAATTCCTAAAGGTTAAAAGAGTCTTCCAGTGATTTTTGAGATGTCTTTTATACGTGTGGTAGGGTGATTTTATTTGTACTGTCCTACGGCGCCTTTTATTTGGTAGGTTTGCTTGAGGGTAGGATGTCTTTTGATGAAGTTCCACTAGTTACTTATTTCATCATCCGAACTCCAGTGGAACATGGTACATTTAAAAAGATGTCAAACGCTGAATAGTACTAACCAACAATGTTGTTAGGCTACTTAAATGCATGAGACTAAGAAACACAACACCTCACTGGAATAATGTTAGATAACAATTACCCAGTGAGATTCATCAGGCGTTAAAGAAGTGTCAACCAAATAGCTCTACCAATCCAATCAGCTACCAAAAAAGGATGTTTATATATCCGTGCCGTTCATGGGTGATCAACAAAGTCTGGTCAGTAAACAAAGAGTCACGGTAGTATTTAATAGAACTTACTACGCAGCTGAATCTATCTTTATAGGCAAAATGAGATCTATGCTGTCTTGTATACCCACACAGCATCCGAACGATAGTGTCATATCCCATTGTGTTTATCAATTTACATTGTATGTGTAAACACACCTACATAAGAAGGACCCATCGGTCTTCGCAGGTTAGGACTACAGAACATATCACAAGAAACAAAATCGCCGGATACATTTTTTGATCCCGGAAATAGATGTCCAACATCATCTATAGCGAAACACATTCTAGCGACAGGTCATATGGTTGATTTCAATAATGCCTTTACACCCATATGTATAAAACAAGGTCGGGTCATATACTTAAATTCTTTGAAACTTTCACCATAAAAAGACTTAAGCCCACTATTGTAATACAATTTAGAACAATGGTTCAATGGGTTGCGCAAATACACATTACACGTTTCAGATCAACTACGTCTTCTTATTTTGTGTTATCGAATTGCATAAAGGGAACTAACTGCTTTAG